AAAAAAAAAAAAAAAAAACACATCATAGTAATTTATAAATTTCTTCTAGGAAAGAATGATTTTAAAGTGACTAATAATCGATTTATGAATGAATCGTGTATAATATAATGCAATTAAACAGTATGCGTTTGTTAAATATTACTCTAAGTTATTTATTTAAATATTTTTTACTGAAAAGAATTATGTTCTTTTAAGAATATGAAAATAATGTATTGAAATAGAAGTGTTGATTATCTTAAACGAAAAGGTCAAATAAAATACCATTATTGTTGGCACAGAGTAGCCTTCTGTTATCTCATGTTATGTGGTGTTGAGTATATTATGACATTTTAAAAGATTTTAGCACTTTTATAATATTGCAAAAACAGTAGTGTGGTTTATATACGCACAGCACAGAGATAAAAGTAAACAGACCCACTTTACTTCTCCCGTCTTAGTATAAAGTACTAATACTGGTCCAAAAGTGGTTATTGGCGGCCAGTCATTTTCTTAGTTAGATCATTTACTATGTTTAAGCTAATTAAACATATATGTTTCTATTTAAAAAATTTGACTTAATACTACATTAAAGGGGAAAGAAGAAAGATAGAATTAGTTTTATTATTTTGAAAATTATGAAACATAGGATACTATTAACTTCTGAAAAAAATGATAATATATTTTAATCACCTTTTATGAGAAAAATTGCTGAAAACCTAAATAATTTCGTTTCATAGCTTTGATTTGATAATTTAAAAAGATAGCTGAAAATGCTATTTATGCCATTTAAAAATATCTTTAAGCTTTATTACTGTACATGTATATAATCTCTTAGTAAATAATGTACCATTCTAAATTTATTGAATTTAATCAAAAAACTTTCAAGGTACAGTTGTTTAAATTCTATTTATTAGTAAGAAAATGAGTAAATATTTACTAGTTTTAATCATGACTGAAAATTTACTTTTTGTTACGTCCATGCTATGTTATTTAATCGTATATATTTTAAATTATTTAGAAGTTAAATAGTGAAAAAACATTTAATTAATTTATAATGATTAGTGTATGATATCAAAAATAACTAAAAAATTCATTATTAAAACTCAAGTTTTAAGTGATAATAAAGATTTACTGTCCAATATATATACATTTTGTATTTACTTCGCCTTAATCTTTTAAAAAAAGGCATCGGGATGCAATGCTTAATAAACCAAAGGTTTTTCTTTACTGCAAAATATAAAATGAGGCTCTGCAATATCGAATATTATGTTTTTCTTTCTTTTGTTTTTATATTTAAAATACTCTCAACTAAAATACTCAGTTCTTCTTTGAGAGAGGACGGGAAAACCTGCATAGTTTGGCCGTAAAGAACCAAATCGTTATATGCGCATCAATGTACCACGCGATTCTATATACCCTTAAATATTATTTCAGTAATATTTAATGCTATTACTGATTATTTTTAATTTTATCATATTTCAATAAATTTGTCTTTTAAATCACCACTTAATCTACCAACCGACACTGAGAACAATTATTTTTTCAAAATTAAAAATATTAAAAACAATTAAATCTAAAAGTGTGACCTATGCAAAAATAAAATAAACTCGCGTGCCTGACAAATGAAATTTTATAAGAAAATCTGCAGAGTATCATAAAATCAAGTTAATCTGTGTTAAACAATAGTAAATTATTTTTACAGCAAAGTACTATATAACCCTAAACGTTTTTGAAAATTATTTTGCTTCAAATTAAGTTTGAGCAAAAAGTTACAAAACTTTGTCATTGCAACATCTAATATGTGTAATGATAACTTATATTAATATGTTGTTTGACTTATTAAATTTCTAAAAAAAAGGTTTTTACTTTAATTTACTAGTAAAAAAAAAATTATATAATAATTCTATAGACCATAGGCGAATACAAATTAATCAATCAATAGCCCAATTAAATTACTGTATATACACCTTAATTTGATGCATAAATAATTATAAAAACTTATTTTTTATATTATTGATTCACTTTTACAGCTTCTAAACCTTCATTTAAGTATAAGTTTATTGGTCATCTTTTAAAACCCGGCCCGGATGTTTCACTGAAATGTATAGCTTACGGCACTCCAACTCCACACATCACATGGAAGTTTGACGGCTTTGATATACCGCTATCTAAAATGTAAGTTATTTTTTAACTACCTTCAAATTTATTTCATATTTAATCAAGGAAATTTAACAAAATAAATAGTTTTACGAGGCACAGTTTTAAAATAATATAGACAAACTAAATTTTATATTTGGAGTATTTCAAAGTAAACTGACTCATACGGGTAGTTATATCTATACGCTTTACAGACAGTCGGCATTTACAAATATTGCAGTAGGAATAATATATAGGTTATTGTTTTGAAAATTTTACGAATTTTCGAATGAGCTTATTTAAACTATTTATTAATTGTACTGAGCATCAAATAATGACACTTTAATGTATTAAAACAAAAAATGTCTTATTTCGTGCCAATAAATTTTAAAGTTATTAAGGTTTCGTTTTATATATAAATATTTTTTTTTCAAATATTGTTTTGAATATTGTTTGTATAATTTTTCTCTTCTTGTGAATAAATAAAGAAAAAAAATGCATAAAAAATTTTAGCATTGAGAAAGTTTAGAAATATATATGTTGATTCTATGAAATATTTTACAGGCGAGTGTCAGTTAGTCAATATGTCACGGAAACAGGTGATGTCATAAGCCATTTTAACATAACAAAAGTTCAAGTGGAAGATGGTGGTGTATACGAATGTGTTGTATCCAATCGAGCTGGAAAAATATCACATTCGGCTAAATTACAAATTTACGGTTTGTCTATGCATGTTATTTTTACAACTTTCAACATTTCAATAATCATTACAAATATAGTTTTTTATACAGATTATATTTTTTGTATAAAAAAAATATATATATAGTTTTGGTCTTTTTTTTATTCAAAGCAAAGTTATAAAACTTATTTTAATGGATCTATAAAGTATTATTTACTTATACTAAAATTCTATATATAATCACAAAAGCATTTATACTAAATTTATGCCATCACACTATCAACTTATGAGTATTATTGTTGCAACATTTAGTTTTCAGTGAAAAATAAAATGCAGAACTATTGTCATCGTATTTATTTAAAATTAAATAGTATGAAGTGTTTTCAATAGCCCATGTATTTAACGCTTGCCTATGACACTAACCTTGTTCACATATCCTGACACAAAACAATGTAATAATAGTTAAGCATCGATTGTGTAAATAATGTTTTGAATACTATTTCACAAATAGTATTCCCAAAATTCAATTAAAACAGACCATCTACAAAGTGTCTAAAATAATGACTTAATTAATAGTTACTGTTAGTTCTGTATAATAGACATTCAAGATACTTGTGAATTCAAACTGACCAAGGGATTATTATTGTTTCCATGATGTTCGAACAAAACAATCCCTATAATTATTATTATATATTTTATATGTCTTTTGAGATACATTCTAAACAGAAAATGCAGAACTACTTCGAAACTATTTTTACGTAGAAAATATTTATTCATTCATATCTTGGGTAATGATAATAGAACCGCTATTAAAGAAATATCGATAGCCGACGGCAATAATTTGTACATTGAACCTTTTTTTCTTTTATAGGCATTTTACCACCAGGTGCTTTTTCAAGCACCTGGTGTCATTTAGTTCTAAATAAAGTCCCTCAAGACTAATAAAATGGATATCGCTTAACCGGTACCCCGGTGTTTAGTACAGCAATTAAGAAATTCATCCAGTAACAATGTCGTAAGCACTCTAATATGTTATAACCCACACGAAAACTTCCCATACAACATAATCGGTTTACATACATTTTACTTAAAAAAAAAAAATTATTATACTCTCAAGTTTTGTTGCGCATCCTGTTTTAGTTTATTATTTGTGTAAATGAAATTTTATCGGCTAAAGTAAATAAATAATAATTCAAGTTGTATATAAATGAATTTCAAAGATCCCTTATTGTTAAAATACTCAAATCCATTCTTTATAATAACTACACAGGCAATCCTATGAATTTCATGCTCAATTCTTTTTCACATCCCTTGTTTTTTTATTTAATTTTTCTGAACTGATTGAGGTAAATTACCCTAGTCTTTATCTTCATTAAAAAAGAATAAATAATATTATTCGACCTTTTATTTGTCTCCCTCTTTTTTATATGTTCTTTTTTCAAATCAAAATACAACTCTATTTACATTCACAAATATAAAAAGTATATAATTCAGTAAATTTTCAGTGTAGTGTATCATGATATGATGTGAATAAGTTATAGATTAAAATTTTTAAATATTTGTTAAAAAAAATATTAGAATATATTTCTAATAAATAAATATATGTGACGGTCACTATATAGCAAAATTAATATCTTCATAGCTTCACACCAAAGCTAATAAAACAATTTACATATTCTGATTTCATTAAAAATAAACTTAAAGTTTTCCTTTTCAACATTTATAATTTATTTTTGCAGGTAATCCGGTTGCTAAAAAAACACCTAAAATTATTGCACGAGCTGGTCAACAACTTCACATGACTTGTCCTATATCAGGTTATCCGATATTCAACATCAACTGGGAAAAAGGTAAACAAATATTAAAATCTGTTATATTATTTTGAATGTTTTTATTATCACGTTACCAAATACCTGTAATCATATTAATATTTTATTAATTAATAATAGTTCAAAGTGTACTAAATAATACTATCAATGATTAGTGAGTGTGAATATAAAAAAGAGCTATTAGAGCAAAAATACAATAAACAGTTGATTATTATTTGAAAAATATCTGTAGTTCAGAAGATTTAATTATAAAAAGGTTTTCGTTATGATTTTTATTTAGAAAATAAAGATATATAATGGGTATGACATTTCAAGATAAAGTAAAATAGTACCCAACAAAAATGACTTCATAGATTAACTAATTGTATTCATGTTTATAAAAAAAAACCAAGCATAGGGGGATCGCGGCACAGTGGTGACGTGGTATAGATGGATCAAGTATAATGATATCTGACAGTGATTAAAATCACTATAAAAAAAAACGCTTCGATGCAAATCTTTAGATAGTGTTTAATTTTAAAAAATTGGTGGATTATTCCAAAATCTACATGATCTGCTAGTTCATTATTAATATCCTAATTAAGATAAAGTATATCGAATGAAAAAGGGATTATTAAAAAATATTATTTCTCATAAAAAAATAATGTTGATCCATACACTTTTCAAAAAGTTATAGCATAATAAATTTAAAAATGTAAAATACAAAATCGAAAATTTTCACACAAAAATAGCATTCGGTAGCCATTTTCACCGTGAAGATAAAATAAAGTCCGAAATTTCTTTTTTTTTCATAACAAATTATATTACATTAGCTTTAATTTAAGATATATATTAAAGTGTCAAACCTTCCGGAACATTTTCAAAAATCAAATTGAAAAAATTAATTTTTTGTGAAAAAGTTGTCATTTTAAATCCCCCCTGTGGGCAAGTAAAGGTTCAGATATAAAAAAAATATACCAAATGAAAGGTAATGACATCATGCATCTATATAAAAATAAATTATATTGATTCGGTTATTTTTAAAAAAGTAAAAAAAATTGAAAAAATTTCGAAAATTAGCGATTTTTAAATTTGTAANTATAACAATTTTAAGTAAAAAAAATTGAAAAAATTTCGAAAATTAGCGATTTTTAAATTTGTAACTTTTTTTGGAGGTTTCCCCCATTTACGGGGAAAGAGGGCATTTTTTTCAATTTTTGAGGGTAATGCCTTTGACTAGATACGATTTGTGATCTATTGACGTATCATTGAAAGAAATCGGTTCGGTGAGAGCTGAGAAAAAGTGGTAACAGACACAAAAAAAAAAAAATCTTAGTAAAACCAATACCTCCTCAGCTTCGCTTCGAAGCTAAAATGGGTTATGATTAAAACCATTGCACATCAATAAAACAAGTTCAAACAAATATTCTAATATTAATCTTTGAAATCCATTTACTACTATTACCAGTAAATTTGTTGATGCTAAAAATTAAAATATCCGTCAATTTTTAAAAACTTTAAGCCACGAATAAATAACTCCAGTTATATTTTGTTATTATATAAATGATACTTCATCACAACTTTTCAAATTTGTTTAATTAATATATTCTCTGTCAATAATTTTTTACTCGTAATTATAAATCTTATTTTCAGTATCGTTCAACACAAACGACGTCTTGAAGTTATTTCTCTTTAAACGTTGAACTAACTTAAATCATCAAAATTTTAAATTTTGTCGGATTAAATTCTATCGGAGTACTGATTGACGTAGATTTTTTTGACGATCGCAAAATATAATTAATAACACCAAAATTTAAGTTTATATTAAACTAAGCCTAACTCTTAGAGAACTACTTTAAATTTATTCAATTTAGTCCTCACTTTGAACTAACTAAAATGAAACCTTAACATTTTTATTATTCTAAACAAATAAATAGATAGAATACTAAAGACTACATTGAACTCTATCGTCTGACTTTTCAAGCAGTTTAAAATTAATCATCATTATTTTATTTACGTGTATATACAACGTTAAATTAAATTAATATAACTAGTATATTGATAAAGATTTTATTTTCTAGAAATGTGTAACTTGGTAATTAATTTCTGTACACCTGATTAATATTTTTTTTAAACTAATTGATAGGGACGTTTGATTTTCGTTGATGTAAAATGTATTAATATTTAAATTTACACTTATTATAACAATAACAACTGTATATAACAAAAAGAACCTTGATGTAAACTATGTTTGCTTTGGTTGGGATACTATTATGATGCCTAGAGGTTCATTAAAATCATTTAAAAGTCTAGCCTCTACTAGAACACTTACTCCTCAAGTACACTAGACTGAAAAATATGACTACATTTTAAATATTAATGAAGAAACGCGTCTCGAAATTTTACATACATTTTAATTTGAAAAATGTTCTTTTATTCGAATGAATAGCAAATGAAGTTATGGTTAGGCCATTGTGTATGATTTTCCCGTCATAAAATAGTCGACCGGGTAGTAAGTAGACTCTACATAAAGTATGCACGTTGATGCTGATTTGGTTTTTTCATGTTCTCCATTGTTTAAATTTTTCTTTTTTAATGGTATACTGTTTTATACAACGGCGACAATATCTATTGGATTAACAATGAGTAAGTTTTGAAAAATATAGACCCCTGGGCGCACCTACTCTAAGAAAACTTTTAACAATATTTTATCATATACCTACTTCATCGCATAACAATACTATTTTTTTTTTTTTTGTTCATTTATAATTTTTTTCTCTTATATTTTTATTTTGTTTTTTATAAACATTTCTGTGTTTTAGACAATAAGAAATTGCCTGGGGCAAAATCGACCAACAAGCGGTACAAGGTATTTGCAAATGGCTCAATTATCATAGATAACATACAAAAAAAGACTGACCAAGGAATGTATTTTTGTGAAGGAAGCAATGATAAGCACGCTGTAAAAGCATCAGTAGATGTTAATGTTATTGGTAAGTATGTAATTGATTAAGTTAAATCACCAAAGAAATTTTTTTTACAGATTATCATTGAATAATATTCATCTGAATCATTCATTAATTTCTATATGACTTACTAGTTATACATTTACTCTACCAATTGTTGTAGTTTTGAAATATAATAAATATAATTTAACCAAACCTATACATTTTATAAAAATGATACGAATGGGTATCCAGTTTTATTTAAATTCTAAGTCACTTTATAAGTTTCTTTGTGCTGTAAAATAAATTAAATCGTGTAAATTATTCTCATAACAAAAACACGTTTTTACAAATTTTGAGTACGATGATGATTCATTGTATTTTTTTATTGCGCATATAAAGCCATTAAAACAAATTCGCAGTATTTAATTGCGTAAATCTTTGAATTTTTCCAACTACACTCGTATTGAAATAGTTTCACTAACCACTCCAAATTCTACAATTTCTGTAAGTAGAAGACAACTTTTGAAATTTCCTTACTGACTCTTCTACGAAGACAAACAGCGTCCTAAACCTTTAAAGGATACAACTGAGCATCAAATATGTTGCAGAGCCTCCAAATATACATCCATTCACAATAGGAGAAGGTTATCACGAAGGAGGTCGCGTAGGATGGCAATGTTTTATAACTAAGGGGGACGGTCCGCTGAGCATTCATTGGTTAAAAAACAACCAGACATTAGATGCTGCGGCAGCGGTACCACCGCTGTCCATATCCTATCAGAACGAGTATAGCAGCTCATTACTGATTGAAAGTATAAAGTTGGCCCACGAGGGTAATTACACATGCAGAGCGTCCAATCCTGTGGCTACTGTCGATCATACTGTCACTTTAACCGTACTTGGTACTTTTTATTTTTCGTTACTCTGAAGCACAGCTCAAGATCACTGCACAATGATTTATTCTTTATTACCGCACAAATTTTATTTGCCAAGCACTACCTCTTATCTAGCAGCACATATAGTCATTATAAACATGTATATTTTTTTTTTTTGCGTAAACGCTATATATTAACTAAGCGCTTTATGTACTATAAATTAAAAAATCAATACGTTGGTTTCAATTTTTTAAAATATTTATAACTTTATAATCTTCACCAGGAAAATCTGGCTTAAATCAATAATAATGATTCGTGATAAGTATTTGTAAAAGATTAAGTTATATAGGTATATACATAACCGAAAATCAATAATTTTGGCTATATTGGAGTTAAGTAAGAAATTTTCCATTAAACAATCAATCCTTTTTTAATTTAGGTACATTAAACTTATTTTATATATTCGTGTAGAATATTTTATTTGAAAATTACATTTTTTTCGCTACTTTATTTTTAACAAACAATACTGCATTATTTTGCACAAACTGCACGGACAGTAAAATCACTGTATGATATAGAATATTAAATAGTTATAATATACTTCTTCTTTTTTCTCGCCTTTATCCCAACTACTTGGTGTCTGTCACTTTTATCCTAAATTTCCACTTGTCAAAATTTCCCACATCAGCTATCCTCGTATTATATTCAATAAAATACCTCCATCTCCTTTTTGGTCTTCCTCTACCTCTTATTGCTTCAATATTCATTTCTATAACTGTTCTCACAGCTTACGATTCCTCTCTCCTCATAATGACCATAATACACGACCAAAACCATCTAAGTCTATTTTCACTCATCTTATACAAGATTAATGCTACATCTGTACTCCCTCTTATATGTTCGTTCCTTATGAATAATTAGTTATAATATACACTCTCATTAAATAAATTATATGCCTTACGAAAACAACAAAACTTATATACACCGCATAACTGCACTGTGTGTTTTTGTTGTTGCACGCTTTGTTTTTATTATGTTTACAGCACCTCCGGAAATCACACCATTTTATTTTTCCAAGCTCGCTGAAGGGTCTAGGGTACAAGTGGCTTGTACGGTTCACCAAGGCGATTTACCGTTAAATATCACCTGGCTGAAAGACGGTCGGGTACACCACGGGTCGAGTGGTGCCGACATAACCCCGTTCAACGAGTACTCAACCATATTAACCGTGAACAACGTTTCCCGGTCAGATACAGGAGACTATACTTGTGTGGCCGCCAATCCGGTACACAGTGCTTCTTATACGGCCCATCTCAACGTCAACGGTACAACACGCACGTAAAAAATCATCTCCCAGCTTATATGTCAAGGGAAAATAATTAAATTTTCTACTGTCTTGCAAATATTACTTTTAAAAGAAACAAACATAACCATCTTAAATTCATGAAACCTAATTATATTATAATCATTATTTATCTTATCCATATTTATCAACAAGTATGAACCATAATAAACATTTCACAACCTAAATGGTATAAATGAATTTTAAAATATAACATAGTTATTATACTCTTCTTGAGAAAAATCAAATATTAGTATAAATCTATACTTTCATTTATTACTTTAAATTAATTACAAAAAAAAACACTGTCAGTTTTCTGTAAAATAAATCTTTTTAAAAATTTATTTAGCGGATCTCATTGTTGATGGTATAAAACATTTTAAATCGTAATTATAATTGCACTTTCAATTAAATAACCTCTATTTACACGTCACACCGCGTTTTATGCGATTGCATGTTTTACACCACTCTAGTCAACACATTTAGAATTTGACCTCATATCTAATAGTATATTCCAAGTAATAACCTCATAAAACAATGTTTTTAGTCGCTCCCGAATGGATCTTTGAGCCTAAGGATGTGAATGTGATACGAGACGACCAAGCGGAAATTAACTGTTCAGCATCAGGACACCCTAAACCGACTATTAAGTGGAGAAAAGGATCTAGTAAATTATTTTAAATATCAATGTGTCCGTTTTTTAAATGTATTTTTCCTGTAAAACTTTTTCAGGTAAAGATTCAGACCAGTTTACGGACGTTAACGACAATGTAACGGCTGATGGTAGTTTAATAATAAATAAAGTAACCAAAAAACATGAGGGTTACTACATGTGTGAAGCCAGTAACGACATTGGCTCCCCAATAAGTTCAATTATCCATCTGAATGTGCAAGGTGAAGTTAAAAAGAATTTTTAGAGTAAAACTAAAATATTTCTTTATGTTTGCTTCCTTTTTAAGGATTTAAGAAAATTGTATAAAGCTATGAATCGACAAATTTTAAAAGGCTCTTTATACTTTGAATTCGCACATTTTAATCCTTTTTTTTAACTATAGTAAATCATATATCAATGTTTTTTTTTATTGTTTCATTGAGAAATTATTTGAAAACTAGACAAGTAAAAAATTATCATTTAAGTTCGGTAGTTATTCAGTACCTTAAGCATTCAAACAAATTGCCCCTTTAATGTCTATTTATTGCTTAAATGGCGAAATAGGATTGATTCCGATACCATCTGGGCTCTTGTAAATAAACGTGAGACGATTTTAAAGAGAAAAATACAATATTGTCGACAGTTTGAGTTATTTATTTGCATATTACGCTGTTACCGACTTTTTCATTATTCTATGTGTTCCAGACTTGCCGCACATAATACTTCCCAACACCAAGTATACGTCGATAAATGGCGGCATAGCGACGATGGCTTGTGAAGCGACTGGAGACCAACCGATACACATATCATGGATCAAAGGATCCATCCAACTGAGCTACAAAAGCGCGAATCCTAGGTAATAACGTCGTATATCAATGTACGTCATAAAATATAATAATAAGTTATGGGTAACGATCGGATGAAATAGGAACTCTTTCTTGCTCTATCTCATACAATATTGAATATACGCTACAGTATCGTTTAAAAAACTTTAATATAAACGATCCTTTTTCAATACTCAGTATTTCCTACTATGATTTAAGACTAAGAAGTAAATTATATAAAAATATGAAGTTGCCAGTATAAACCCACGCGTGGTTTTTAATAATCGTGGATTTATATTGGATACTAAATAGAATATTCCTTTGATATTTATATAGGGTGTTCAGTAAATAAAGAAACGGGTTTCTATTTTTCTGATTGTTTATAATAATTGACTTGTGTTCCATATTTACTGAACACTCTGTATGTAATCACGTGATAGATTAAAATTATAAAATTAAAATCCATATTTTTTTAGAATTAAACCTGAAACTACTCTTCACAGTTAACTAGAAATAACAATTAAGTAAAAATTAAAAACATTTAAAATAAATTTTGGTTTTTAAGTTTTGTACTTAATTTTATAATTTTTTAAACTGTGAGTTTAATACTGAGTTTTCATTTATATACACTGGGGTATATTATTTTAAGGCGTACGATTTTTTCTTATTTTAATGAAAATAAATAATGATGCCTCTAAATAAATTTCAAATGGTTTGACGATTCAAATGGAATTCTCATAGAAAACTTTTATACCGTTTAAAAACAAAATGAGTTTAAAGACATAACACCGACCCATTGACACTTTGTAACGTTTCTATGGTAGTCGGGTGTTCAATTGTTAAATTGCGTCATTAAATTTCTAAAGTCATAACGTTAACGTCTACTATCCGTTTAATGACCACGGAGTTGAGCGTTGTGTAATTAAATACCATAGAGTTTGCATTATTTTATCAGAAATGCGTGCGGCTCACCTAAATTCCATAAACGTCAAACAAACGTTCAAAATAATATTGCGGTATCTACTCTTGGGAGTTATAGTAATACAAAGATAGTCAATAATAATATTTGGAACCGTTCGTAGGTATGGGACTTAAACATAGTTTTATACTTACCTATTTCACCGACGACAGTTACGAGGCTGTTTTAATACGGTCTAATGCCCTGCAAAATAAATATTAATTAAACGAATAAAATACAAAAATGAGCCGCTATTATAATTAAATTCACTAAAATAATGTTTTATGTATCTGTGTTATTAACGCACGGTTGACTTTGAATTGATCATAAATCTCGTGTTTTATGGTCCGTTTACCGGATAATTTAATGGTATTCGAATATTGCTGTTTCTTGTGAACTTGTGGGACTAAGGTGAAGATGGAGGAACTATTGATACAGAATCTTTAAAAATAAACATATACAGTCCAAGAAAAATAAAAACGATTTTCGTTTTCCCATAAAAAACAAAACGTAAACCTTTAAAAATTATACTAATACCACGAGCGGAACAACAAAAACAATATAGTTATTTATACAGAGTGATCCAGTTGTCACAAATAATTCGCAAGATAATTACATTATTGAAAACAAAATGTTTATTTTATTGTTACGTGTATTTCTTGATTTATCAGAAACTTATAGTGGTGTCAACTTAATTTTTTTTAAATGACAACATACATATTTAACTATATTACACAATAGAAAATTATCTAATTAAGATAACATTACAAAATTATAACAACTTTTAAACCAGCAATTCGAAAGTTATTAATATTTTTATACGTTGACAGGAAGAAAAGTGAGAAAATGTCTAATGATAAAAATATTCATGACTGCGCCTCCCCCCCCAGAGCACATTTTAAAATGCTATAATTCCCGAATTAATGGTTCTAGAGTTAATATTGACCCGTAATTTCTCAATTAAATCGTTTTTTATTTTATAAGCTATTTAAATAATATACATGCTGCCATTTAAGATCAAATTTAATTGACACCTTTTTAAAGTATATGGGATAATGCTAAAAATTAATTAATTACTGATAAATTAATAGAAAGGATAATTCTTTTACAAATACAATATTTTACAAAATATTGTAATTATTTGAGTGAACAAGTCTTTAAGAGGATTATGATAAACGGATCACTCTATATAAATATAGTAAAACAACATAACAGAAAAACGGTTTGGCTAACAAATATAGTGAAGTACATTTTTTTTTAACTTTCTTTATTTGTTCACATTTCAGTCACGTATTTGAAATGTACTCCAGGAAAATACACGTTCTGTTCGTGACAGCAATAGGAGTAGTAGTAACTGTTATACGAAACTTATGGATTTTTATTACTTGAAGATTTTTTAACCCTTTGTTATATTATTGTAAATAATAGATTAAAATTTGTTATACCAAATCTATCAAAATTAATTAGACACGGAATAATTATTTTAACGATATCATACACCCTAAAATTAAAAAAGTATCACCTCATTAAATATCACACGTAAATTAATAAATGTTAACATTTATTAAAGAATAAATTAGAACAGAATTGAAGAATAATAAAAATAAAAATAATTTAACATCAAGTTGTTTTGAAAGAATAAACAAACTACTAAATGAATATTAATTTTTTTTTATCTTACTATAGAATTATTAATTCAAATATTCACAAAAAAAAACTTTTAAAAACTTTATTCTTAATCAGCAATCTAGCGAAATATTATTTATACATTTTTTATAAAATTATGCTAATTCATAATTTAATATGTATCTGAGATTATTTTTTCACTACCCTTAATTAAAATTACACTTAATCTAATGTTAAACAATTATAATTCAGCTTATAAAAAATAATTTAAAATTTTGTGGGCAACACCTAAGCTAAGCAAAGCGACCAAACAATCTTGTATCCACTTTGCGAATTTATTGGATCATTATAACAGAAAATGGTCTGGCGTTATTTCAACTGGAGTTTTATATACTAAATGAACAGAGCAAAGGTATTGCGAAAAACATTTTAAAACACTATTTTGTTGGCGATTTTTCAACTGTATAGCTATAAGGTGTTACGAGCTATACTTAAGTATAGCTACTTAAAAATATATGTCTTTGGTTCTAACAACTTAATATAATTACATTAATTTAAATAAATAAATCATCCAATTGAAATTTGTATAAGGACCATGATTATATTTAAAATTGAAATGATTTTATTTTTTTTTAATTAGTATATCAACTCAACAAATTTGAAATTAAAATTAAAATTTTATAGATATAATGTTGAAGAAATATACACAGACACGTTGGTCAGATCAAAATTGATAATAAGCAAAGTAAATGCTGCCGACTCGGGTCGTTATGTGTGTGTAGCCGAAAATTCTCTTGGTAAACACGAAGCCGCCATGGAGTTAGAAATAAAAGGTTGGTCGACCGAAACATATTTGAGATGAAATATTTAGTGCTAAAGCTTCACGGTAATATGTTATTTTCAGTTTTAGGTTCACCACCGGATGATCTTAGTTGTAATGATACAACACCTACAAGCATTCGACTCCGGTGGACTGACCTCAATGCTAACAACCCAACAAATGATTACGTACTTGGATATGTTTTAATATATTCTAAATTAGTGTCTCCTGATGATTTGATCAGTAAGTATATTCAATAAAATTACATAAAACCATTATAGATATAATGGTAATAATATAAAAAAAGATTTAAAATACCTCAATTATATCTAAACATCCTTTTAAATGAGTAAATACTCGAATATTTTTTCATTTCAACTTTGTTTTCTCGGTGTTTATTTTACCGTATTGTTTCAAAGGCTAAAAATTAAATAGATGTTTATTATTTAAAAAAGTTAACAAATTTTCAAATTATTTTACGGATTCTTGAAAATTATATCGTAGCAATAGTTCTACCATGAATAATATTAAAAAATTATACTTATACATTCATAAAAAACTTTTTATCTCTTGAATAAATAATAAACGCATAGTTATCTAAAAATGAAGGTATTCAGTTTGTTATTAAAACGTTATGCGGTAATGTAGCATTATTGCCTACCTGGAGCGCCGTCATATTATAAATGCAAATTAAATTCCATAATAATTTTTATTTAATCTTTGACGTCTTAACTTAAGATGATATGAACTGTAGGCTTGGATAATTTGGTGAGCTTAATGAAATTTTAATAGTCTTGTGGTCTTAGGCAAAGAAGTGTGTACTGATCATTAGCGACACGTTAAACATTCCCCGTGGGTTTTTGTTGACGTTTATCCCAACCGGAAATCGTAAAGATTACACTGAAAAAGCGTCTTACACCTCTAACTAATCGTAACAAGACCTTTAATAACCCTTTTTTAATGTACCATTTTTTTTTTCGTTATAATAAAAAAAATATGATCAATTCATCAACTGATAATCATTTAATATAATATTCGGTACCTGACACGAGATTAATTTTGTCTATAAATGTTTTCATCTATATTTATTACATTCTATTAAAGACAACCGAACACTAATTATTAAAGGGAGTTGCATTAACAGATTGATCAAGTAAACCAAAATGTAGCGAACACACAAAAGTCTAAATTACAATAATACATGTTGATTTTATAACAAAAATAATATAATAGTAAAACAGCTTTATATAAAAAGATTATAACATTGTGAATATGGTTATATGACTAATTTCTATATCTCTCTATCTACACAATTAAATGAACACTAAAATAACAATAATGGACATGTTAAAATAAAATAATATTTCCAAATAAAATGAAATACACAACGTGTATTTATAGGATAAGATAAATAACCTTAAGAAAAGTATACTTCACGCATACTAATATAAAAGTATTATACTTTTATTATATAAAATTATTTATTACTATTTTTAACGATCAAAATACGTATAACTGAATAAGTTCTTATACTAAAATCGTTATCAATCCATTAAAATTTTTCATTAAAAAAAGCTCTAAATATTGACTGTTATGAAAGTTTAAAAAAAATAAAAAATAAAATTTTTTAGTATGCAAAAATTATTTAATGAAAAACAAAAAATTAATATATCTAGAATTATTAACCTAAAACGCTTTATAATACCCTCTTGGAACTCTTTAAATCAAATAAACATCGAACTCATCTACCAAAAAAATCTATACCGCCCGAAAAATTAAAAAAAATATTTTAAATAATATCATTAATGAATATAACGAAATTATTAAGATATATATCAATGCGTCAACAACTCAAAAATGAGTAAAGAATATTCATAATAATAAAAAATAAACACAAAATATTTAAATTAACTCGTATTTGCTGAATTAATACTTCTGAGGTCGCAGCTGTATTTAAGGTAATTCAACTACTAATTTGTGTCCTCTTCGCAGAGGAAACAAATTACATCATGTTCAGTGACTCACGTAGTACTATCAACAGTGTGAAAAACAACTTCATGTAAATGACATTAATACTCTTATACAGAACAAGCTTAGCTTTTAAAAAAAGTCCCAACCACATTGCCTAACATGTAAAGTAACATGCACAGTTAAGCACATATTTACAGAATACCTCAACTACCAAACGAATCGAATTCAATTTACTATCGACAACAACCTCAATACCTAACTAGGAATTAATCCAGAAGTAAATAAAAAATACTTAAATTTCTTAAAAATATATAGTTTAACAAAATATAAAAATTATAATTTAATATAATAATATTTTCAATAATTATTAAAACCACCAAATAAAATGTACATTTTATTTGAACTTTTAATCAAATTCATAATATATTGTAACTAATCAACCATAGCAGCCATAGTTTTTAGATCAATAAAAAAGTTATGAAAAAAAAGTAACAGCGCAATGATATTTTAAATGATATTAAATGATGTAATCAAGAATTTGATACATCTCTTATAATTTAAGTTAAAAGTGTTGTCAGTTTATCTGTTCCAACCAATACATTTCCTTAAAAAATAATTTAACAGTTTGTTGCATTTATTATAAAATAATCCAGTTTATACTTGTCATGCAAAAAATTCAAATATTTACAAACAATCATAAGAATTTCTCAAATCAATTTTATCAATTTAAACAGTTCATTCTTTCCAAAGTTTCACCTCTCCGATAAATTTTTAATAATTTCAAAAGTGGATTTTATAAAAATATAAATCTATAAAATTAACAAGTTTTTCAATTTTTTTTAACTCAATAATGCAGAGCACAATAAAATCAATGGTAAAAATTCAAATGTTTTAAAAGTATAATTTTTATCTTATGATGATCAGTTTTGCACCCTTCTATTTTGCAACATGTCAGGAAGTCAAAAATGGTTCATGGCTAAGTCAACGATGAACAGGACGGGTATTATGGTCGGCTTGCAAAAGAGACCTGACACCACCAATGAAAAAAATACAAATAAGTTTCGTTGGCACCTGGGATCGAACCCAGAAACCCGTGCGACAAAATATGAGTTTCTATCCAACCCTTTATAATCTTTTCCTTATAGCTGTTTCAATTCTCAACTTGACCTTTTCTTTCGGTGTTATCCAATTATATAAAACATCATTAATATTTTTATGGATCACATAAAAAAATTATTATTAATTATAATTTTTAAGAAAAAAGTGATATATTTATAAATAACTGATAAGTACAGACTTTTAAAAATAGCTACATTATAAAAATGGTAGCTTCAAAATCAAAATTTTGAATTGTAGAAACTATCACATGTTTTACTTTTGAATTACCACAAATTTAAATACTTATCTGTTACTTTAAACCTTAATTTTATTTAAATAATGGAAATTATGTATAGTCTATCTTGAATTAACATTAATGGACAAAATATTCATCAATTCATTAAAAAGAAAAAAACTTATTTCAAAAGAAATAGATTTTTCTTATCATAATTAAAAAGTTTGTATTTATGAACAAAATTATGGTTAAGACTTTTTTTTTTATTCCTTTTTCTCGACATACACAAAATAAGTAACTTGCGAAATAAATCCTGCTGAATTTAAGAAAAGGTTTTAATATTTATTTGTTTTATTCGTGAAAAACTTACAACAGATGCTCGTCATCAATCAAGTTCAAAATAAATAAAGATTTACTCTAAAAAATCATAGCTTTATAATTACTCAATACTTAATCCAATAAACAAAATTTTATTTTTGTTCCAAATTGTTAATCATTTACATGTTATTATTATACCATTGTTGGGAGATCAATACGTCAATTGTAAAATAAAAAACCCAGCACAGGGGGGTCGCAGAACAGTGGTGACGTAGTATAGATGGATCAAGTATAATGATATCTGACAGTGATTAAAATCACTATCAAAAAAAAACGCTTCGATGCAAATCTTTAGATAATGTTTAATTTTAAAAAATTAGTGGATTATTCCAAAAGCTACATGATCTGCTAGTTCATTATTAATATCCTAATTAAGATAAAGTATGTCGAATGAAAAAGGGATTATTAAAAAATATTATTTCTTATAAAAAAATAATATTGATCCATACACTTTTAAATATGTCATAGCATTATAAAGTTAAAAATGTAAAAAATAAAATCGAGAATTTCCACATAATAATAGCATTCGGTAGCCATTTTCACCGTGAAGATAAAATAAAGTCCGAAATTTTTTTTTCGCATAATAAAGTAGATTACATTAACTTTAATTTAAGATATAAATAAAAGTGTCAGACTTTCCGGAACAGTTTCAAAATTTAAGTTGAAAAAGTAAATTTTTTGTGAAAAAGTTGTCATTTTAAATCACATTTTAAATGTAAAGGGTCAGATATAAAAAAAATATATACCAAATGATAGGTAAAGACATCATGCATCTATAAAAAAAAAATTATATTGATCCATACATCTTTCAAAAAGTTATAGCATTATAAAGTTAAAAATATAAAAAAGAATTTTTTTACAAAAATCGTATTTTTTTTATAAACTTTGATGTCTGTTTTCACCATGAAGATAAAATAAAGTCCGAAATTTTTTTTTTTCATAATAAAGTACATTACATTAGCTTTAATTTAAGATATATATAAAAGTGTCAGACCTTCCGGAACACTTTCAAAAGTTAAGTTGAAAAAGTTCTACTTTGTACATGCATTTTTAAGATTTAAAGCCCCCTTGTATATAGAGAAATAGTTCGATTTAAAAAAAAAGTATGTCAAATGAAAGATATACATAAATACTACTTCTCATGAAAAAATTGTGTTGATCCATACATTTTTCAAAAAGTTATAGCATTTTAAAATTAAAAATGTAAAAAATAAAATCAAGAATTTTCACACGAAAATAGCATTTGGTAGCCATTTTCACCACGAAGACAATAAATTAAATAATTGGTGGATTATTCCAAAATCTACATGATCTGCTAGTTCATTATTAATATCCTAATTAAGATAAAGTATGTCGAATGAAAAAGGGATTATTAAAAAATATTATTTCTTATAAAAAAATAATGTTGATCCATACACTTTTCAAAAAGTTATAGCATAATAAATTTAAAAATGTAAAATACAAAATCGAGAATTTTCACACAATAATAGCATTCGGTAGCCATTTTCACCGTGAGATAAAATTAAGTCCGAAATTTTTTTTAGATTTTAGAACCAATTTCTTTTAATGATACGTTAAAAGATCACAAATCGTATCTAGTCGAAGACATTACCCTCAAAAATTAAAAAAAAAATCCCTCGTTCCCCGTAAATGGGGGAAACCTCAAAAAAATTACAAATTTAAAAATTGCTAATTTTCAAAATGTTTTCAATTTTTTTTACTTAAAATTGTTATAACATTTTTAAAAATAACCGAATCAATATAATTTTTTTTTATCTAGATGCATGATATCATTACCTTTCATTTGGTATATTTTTTTGTTATATCTGATCCTTTAACTGTCCACAGGGGGGGGATTTAAAATGACAACTTTTTTACAAAAAATTAACTTTTTCAACTTAAATTTTGAAAGTGTTCCGGAAGGTTTGACAGTTTAATATATATCTTAAATTAAAGCTAATGTAATATACTTTGTTATGAAAAAAAAAAAATTTCGGACTTTATTTTATCTTCATGGTGAAAATGGCTACCGAATGCTATTTTCGTGTGAAAATTTTCGATTTTGTATTTTACATTTTTAACTTTAAAATGCTATAACTTTTTGAAAAATGTATGGATCAACACAATTTTTTCATGAAAAGTAGTATTTATGTATATCTTTCATTCGACATACTTCTTTTTTAAATTGGACTATTTCCCTATATACAAGGGGGCTTTAAATCTTAAAAATGCATGTAGAAAGTAGAACTTTTTCAACTTAACTTTTAAAAGTGTTCCGGAAGGTCTGACACTTTTATATATATCTTAAATTAAAGCTAATGTAATTTACTTTATTATGCAAAAAAAAATTTTGACCTCTAGACTTGTCTTCGTGGTGAAAATGGCTACCAAATGCTATTTTCGTGTGAAAATTCTTGATTTTATTTTTTACATTTTTAACTTTAAAATGCTATAACTTTTTGAAAAATGTATGGATCAACACAATTTTTTCATGAAAAGTAGTATTTATGTATATCTTTCATTCGACATACTTCTTTTTTAAATTGGACTATTTCCCTATATACAAGGGGGCTTTAAATCTTAAAAATGCATGTAGAAAGTAGAACTTTTTCAACTTAACTTTTAAAAGTGTTCCGGAAGGTCTGACACTTTTATATATATCTTAAATTAAAGCTAATGTAATTTACTTTATTATGCAAAAAAAAATGTTGACCTCTAGACTTGTCTTCGTGGTGAAAATGGCTACCAAATGCTATTTTCGTGTGAAAATTCTTGATTTTATTTTTTACATTTTTAACTTTATAATGCTATAACTTGTTGAAAAGTGTATAGATCAACACAATTTTTTTATGAGAAATAATATTTTTAATTATCCCTTTTTCATTCAGGATATTAATAAGAAAATAGCAGATCATGTAGCTTTGGTAATAATTTAGCAATTTTTAAAAATTAAATACTATCTAAAGATTTGCATCGAAGCGTTTATTTTTATAGTGATTTTAATCACTGTCAGATATCATTATACTTGATCCAACTATGCCACGTCACCACTGTGCCGCGACCCCCCTGTGCTTGGTTTTTTTTTAACTATGGTTATTAGTCACAAAACTGACTGTTTATTTTAAGGTCGATCCATTAACAATATTACTGCGATTACTATTTATAAATAAATGGACAAAACAAATGAATCTTTCATCCCAATTTTACTGATAAAAATTAATAATTATATAATGTCTTTTGTACTTTGACTGCGTAAAAAAAATTTAATTAACTTTCAACAGACGAATATGACGAAATTGAAGTGTTCCAAAATGGTGACGACGCCACCATATCAGACCTGGAGACTAATACGGCTTACGAATTCTCAATAAAAGTAAACACTGTTCAAGGTCCAGGTAAACCAAGCAAGTCACTGATATGTAAAACATCTGAGAGTCGTAAGTTATCTTAAGCGATTAAAATATAACATTTTTAATTTTTTTATTTTTAGTTCCAGACCCACCAGATGACTTAAAAGCAATTTTGTTATCGCCTAACACTGCACTTATAACATGGATACCACCAAAATATCCTAATGGGCAAATTCAACGATACACTTTGTATGAAAGAGAGGTAAATTAACCGTCAGTTCTTGATGATTAATACAAGAAGTCAATGAATGGATACTATTCTCTAGTACTGTTGATTGTATAATTGACAAATATTCCAAAAATAATGAATTATATTGTCTGTAACGATTTACATAATCTAATGAGATAAAACTTTATTTTATGATCAACATTTTACCAACTTTACAGACATTTCCTTATGATTTTTCTTTTCTTAGCATCATTCATATACAAATGTTATTAATATTATGTAAAAGTATTTTCAAATAATAATTTTACGAATAATTTGTTTAATATTATTTTGTTAGGATAACATCTTTATCTGTACAATTCAGAAATTTAATCAATGCTAATACGTCAATAAATAGTTACTGGACCGGATAAATTATTATTAAATGCTTGTAATTTGTAATTTAGATAAAATAATGATTACCTAAATTTAATACAAAGCACTTTTATCTTTATAAATATATATTTATGTATTTATTTATCTCTACATAAATTATAAATGAAGTTTTAGCATACTTTTATCCATACTTTAAATTAAAAATAACTATCCAGAAATAGTTATTTGTCAGTCATTTTATATTTAGTTACGTTGTATAATTAATTAATTGATTTAAGAAAAATCAATCGGTACTAAAAAAAAATTAGTGAAATTCATAATACTTTGCTTATATATTTATAAATAGAAACTAAACGGCATGCAAGGTGCTGTGAAATCACAATCATTTGAGCACCACGTTCGGCAAGTACAACTGTCAATGTTCAGGCACACAAGCAGCTATTTGTGGTGGGTAACAGCCACAAATGGAATAGGTGAAGGAGAAAAATCTAAAACAGCTACTCTTTCGACAGCTCGATCCGGTGGTTAGTTTTTAAGCATTCGATAATTTTGCTATTGAATGGATTATACCCCTACTTTTGACTACCCATCGTCATTTTTGTCTTCTTTTAATTATACAATTTTCTTTTAATGAATAAACAGTTCAAAATTATTCACTTTTATCAAAGGAATTTTTCATATACAAAAAAATGAAGATCATATCCGTCTTAAAATTTTATTAACCCTGTATATTTATAATTATTTATACATTTTTAAATTTGAATAATTCAAAATTTATACTTCCCTTTTAAATTCTAAATGAGCATATTGCTAAAGGATGATTATTTATTATTGTGAATCAGTACTTTTTAAATAAAATATGTAAGATCAAGAGAAATAACCAAATAAATTGTCAATATTACAGGTATACCAGCGTCTATTGGCTCTTTTCACAATAATTTACATACAAAATGGCATGTTGACATCGAACTCCCTTGCATTATCAGTGGTAGCCCTACGCCTAACGTTAAATGGACTTTTAACGGTCAGCCAATTGATCTGCAAGGGCAAAAGCAGCAGGTTTATGAAAACTACACATTACACCTGACCTCAGTTATCAACTCTGATTCTGGAAATTACACATGCACAGCGTGGAACGTTTATGGATCAGATAATGTCACGACTACTTTACTAGTTGTAGGCAAGTATATTAAAATTAATTAATTTTCAAAATTTTAAACCTAATTACTAATTTATAAAAATTGCCCAACAAAAATATATTAACTCATTGTAAATAATTTTCTTTCATTATTGAAGTTTTAACATATAAAAAAATTTTAGCTTCGATAAGAAACTGATAATGTATCGGTTTTATTCTGCCGTATTTTTTTTGTGCCAGCAATTGCACAAATCCTATTTACCTCAGTTACGGTAGTAAATAGAAATGTCTCAAAAAATTACAGTTGTCATAAAACAGTCTATGTTCACATTTTTAGTTTATATAGAAATAACTTTTTAACAACCGGATGAATTATTACGAAATTCTTATTAATAATACTTCAGATATTTGCTTTGCCGACAAAAATATTTTCTAAAAATACAAGCATTAACTAAGATATTGTGGTAGCTTTAAAATCATAATCAATTCATTTTTTTTTTTTTTTAATTTGTTGTTAATATTTAAAAAAAAACCTACATTAAATTAAAGATAATACGATATAATTGACTTCAAGATGAACAAAAAAAATCTTGATTTTTAGGAATTATCGAACATTAAAGCAAATTATCATACAATTTCCGGAAAAATAGCCAATTTTGTAATATCTTTTATATTACAGATACTTAAATTTATTTCAAATTAAATGTTGTTTAATATCCCGTATGTATTTAATTATCCTCTATATTAATGAACCTATATATATACATATGTTTTTAGAACCGCCAAAGCCTCCTATTTTGGGAGTTTTGAGTATTTCTTGGACTAACATTACTGTGAATTGGACCAAAGCGCCTAACACGTATGCTGTTCAACAATATTTGTTGTCATACAAATATGTAAATGTAAGCTATTAACATCACCCATCCCTTATATCTATTTTATTACATAAGGGTACTATACCTCTTTTTGATAACGGCTATTTATTTTATTATTAAAAAATAAATAAAATATTTTAAGCGAAAATTTCATAATAAATCACAGTTTCAACCCATCTCATCCATTTTATCATCATTAAAAATTGTATATCTATTAAAATCATTTTTGATACAGGAAATGGATAATATGTACACAGAAATAGCATTATCCTCACGAACAAATATGTTTACTTTACCAAATGTTAAATGTGACACAACCGTAGCTTTTAGTATATCTGCCAGTAATCGTATCGGTCATGGCATGCAAAGCAAACCATTTACAGTTAAAACTCTTCAAGGGCAGACGCCCTTAGCTCCTTCTCAAGATGAAGTTAGTTAATATAGTTAAATAATAAAACGATTTTTATTACATAAATTATTTTTTCAGGCTATAGAACAAATGGTAACGGGCTTTTTGATTCACTTACAAAAATGGAACCCAAAACAATGCCCTATTACTCATTTTTCTGTATATAAAAAACATTCAACAGAAAAAGAATGGACTATTGGTACGTTTTATTTTAATTATTTCGTATTTGTCGCACCTCATAAGATGTAATACTTATATGGTATTATTGAAAATAAATTCCAATATTTCAATACATAATAAATATATGATAATTAAAACTGAGTTACACAAAAAAAACATAATTTTAACTCAAACTGAAATAGTTATATATATATATTTAAAAAAATTAATTAAATCAAGAATAATTTTTATAGTTATATTATTATAAACCTTAAGTTTTCATATTGATGAATTTTAAATTAATTTTTATAACAGTTGGTGAAAATGTAGTTCCAACTGGAATATTTTCTGTTGATAACTTGAATCCAGCTACTCACTATAACATTTTAGTAAAGAGTTTCAATTCTGCTGGTATGACCTCTACAGTATTCGCTACGTCAACCTTAGCAGCCTACGGAGAAGGTATTATAAATAAAATAATAATTTAAAAATGTACAATTAACTTTTGTTTACTTTTTAAGGAAATTTTGACAAGGAACCACTATCAATTAATGACAAAATTTTTAATTCTATTTATAATATTGTGCTGATGTGGCCGCTAGGACTAATCATATTATCTCTCATCGTAGCTACTATAACATTGATAGCATGCTATAAATACAGTAAGTTGATAATTATTTTACAAAATTAATAACACATATTTCCACTTGTTTATGCGCGCACAAATATCTATAAATAAAATAATAAAGTTAAATTTGTGAAAATTTATAAATATAATGATTTTATGATTATAAAATAATCGAAATAAATAAAACAGAATTTTAAAAAAAATTGATAATAAAATCATATTTTAATATTTTAAAATTAAATTTCTACAATAATTAAAAGTGTGTAGAAATTTGAATATTTTCATGCGTTTATTTTGCGGTATTAAACATTTAAATATCCGTTAAAAACACGATAGAAGAAAACACATTATGTTTGGGCTTTTTGTGGTTATAAGTATGTAACTATTTCCATCAAAACTGAAAACTTTAACTGGTATTTAATATGAAAAAATATTTGACTTTTTTCTTATCTAAAATGACCATTTGAGAGAGAATTTCGCTCATAACAACTAAAAGCTTTTTGTTAAATAAAAATAATTTATATTAATAAAAACTAATCTTATTGTCTTCTTTTATCATTTTCTATGTATTAAACATTTTTAACCAACTATTACTCATATTATGCTTAAAAAAATTAAAATTTTGAATAAAATTAAAAAATATACTATGGTGAAATATATTTCTCGATATTACTTAACACACTAAAAAGTATATTTCAAAATTAATTGACTTTTTTCAGGGCATTTATACAAGAAGAACCAACGTAATTTAGAACCAAATAATATGATTTTGAAAAAAAACAGCTGTTCTCGAGCAGAAATACATTCAGATACTTATGAAACCTGTACTCCTTTCAAATCAAAAAGTACAATTCTAACTAATGATGAACCAAGTAAATAAAATTTATTCATTAATATAATTAAATAATTGTGTAGTTAATTTAAAAGTGAATTAAATCATAGATTAAGTTTAACTACCAATATAAATTTGTTTTATGTTAGTTTTTAAGATTATTTTAACAAGCAAAATAGCATTTTATAACTATGATGATATCTTTAGAGAGGGATATTTTCTGTCGTATTCCAGAGAAATCAATTTATCTGGAAAGTCTATATTCCCAACATTTTTACTTGCATTAACTTAAAATTTGATATTTAAATAGATTTTATTCTCATGAAAAGTTAATGATATTATTTATCAAATTTTGAAATATATTTATAACAATACCCACCACAAACTCCACCTGTCAAAGGAACTATAAAAAAGATAATAACCATAATATGAGAGAATAAATCTAAATGGTTAGGCTATGTTTTAAAAATTTGCTTCATTTTATTTAAATTGAATTGTTGTTCTTTAAAATTAATTTATATTTTATAATTTTTTATGTTTTCTTAGTTTTAATACATTAAATAATTTAAATACTTGCAGAAGTGTTGTCTTTTTTTGATGTTCATTAATTTATTTTTTTAAATAATTTAAAATTATAACACTTTTTATTTACAGATTATAATGAAATATCACCTTACGCAACATTTCAAATATCTCCAAATAAATCACCAAAAAGAAATAAGCAATATTTTTGTACAAATTGCGGTGAAAATGTAGAATTATGTAACTGTAATAGATTGGTAAAGAAATAAAAAAACTATTATTTACATTAATATTTCACCCATGTTTATAAAATATTTATAAAATTCAAAGTAAGTTAAATTAATAATGAGTTTATAATGTTTATCCAGTATTGCTCACAAACAGACTACACTAATTTTGTAAGACGGCCTATACCTAAACGTACAGCCACATATTCCGACAATAATAATGAAGATTCCAAAAGTCAAAATGGCTCCGTTCACGAATTCTGTAAGTTGAGTTTGTATATTCATAGTTCTCTACAGTAAATATATGTAGACTTATTTTTAAAGTTATAATGATTTAGATGATATAGAAAGAAGCACAAAAACTTGCGAATCAATAAAGAAATCGAAGAGAAGATTTTTACCATTACCTGAGTAAGTGTTCAAAATAATAGTACCAAACTATAGCTAACAAATGTAAAATGATCTTTGAGATTATTTAAATACATATTAGGCATAAGATATATTAAGTGTCTTCAAATATTTCAACAATGAAATTTAAAGTGTGAATAGTTCACTTTTTTAAAGACTGCACCGTTTAAAAAAATTTTAAGAACAGTTTCAATCATTATACGAAACAATTATTTAACTGTGTAGAACCATATCATTGTATAAAATAACCATTTGAACCAAATTAAATAATTAACTTAAATTAGATTCAGTTTGATAAAACTAAACTCATAATAATATTATGAGTTATATAAATATATGTAATTTTGTATAATTAAACAATTCCTGTTGATTTATATTACCATAAATTACCTGAAAACAATATTATGTAACTTATAAGCTCTTTAGATAAAAAAAAACATTTAAATTAAATACAATCCTGAGACACTCAAATTTAAGTAATTCTAGAAATGAGCTGCAAATTACTTAAAATAAGAAAGATACATTTGAGACCGGGGTTTTTCATAATAACACTAATTATCACTTTTCTCTGTTAATCCAAATAAAGCAGTGATCATTATGTTCACTAGAAGAAAAACAGGACTAGACAGTCTTGACCCTCTTACTCTAAATGGACAAGAAATTAGCTTAAAATCGGAAGTTAAACACTTAGGTATCTTCTTAAATAGTTAGCTGAAATAGAAATCACATGTTGAGTCAAGAATCAAAAAAGCAATGATCACATTGTGTACTTACAGCAGAGCCTTGGGAAAGACATAAGGTCTTAAACCAAGAGTTATGTATTGGTTGTACATTTCAGTGATTAATCCTATGATATTGTACGGTGTCCTAGTCTGGTGGTGCAGAACAGCACTAGTTACAGCTAGGAAAGAACTTAGTCACATACAGAGAATGGCTGCCATATCCATCACTGGAGCATTAAGAACGACACCAACAGTCGCATTAAAGGCACTAATCGAATTGCCTCCTCTGCATCTAGAGGTTAAAGCTTACGTCAAAGCCACAGCACTNCATATCCATCATTGGAGCATTAAGAACTACACCAACAGTCGCATTAAAGGCACTAATCGAATTGCCTCCTCTGCATCTAGAGGTTAAAGCTTACGTCAAAGCCACAGCACTAAGATTCCACAACTTAAGTATGTGGACTTTGGAGAGTGACACAGCAAAATATGGTAAAATAATAAAAAAGATAGACCCGGACTTTTTGGAATACCCCTTAGACTATATCAAACCGGTTCTTAAGAATAACATTCCCAACAAAGTGGAGATCACTACACATAGAGAATGAAATATCAACCACCTGACTGAAAAAGGAAGATTTGTGATATATACTGATGGATCCAAAAAATCAGGAAAGGTATGTGCTGGCATTTGGGGTTTAAAGTCACGAATAAATGTCACACATCGGTGTCACTGAAAATGAAAATGCTGACTTTCTAGCCAGGAAAGGAGCAGAGAATACTTATGTTGGACCAGAACCAGTGGTAGAACTCACTGAGCAATCGCTCAAAGCACTACCCAAGAATTGGTGCAAAGAACAACACAGGAAAATCTGGAAGTACTTGGTAGTACCTAGACAATCTAAAATGTTGATTAAGACCCCTGATCTACAGTTGAGTGATCTTAATAGCATGACTAGACAAATAAGCACTTTGACAGGTTTACTGACAGGACATGATCACCTGCTTAAACATCTTAACGCAATGAGAGTAACGGAATCACCATTGTTCAGGAAGTGTGGAGTAGAAATGGAAAACTCATTTCACATTATGTGTTAATGTGAAATGAGAAAAGTATTTTGATCTTAGGACAAGGCTGAAACCTTTTCCACACTAAGATCAAACTACTTGAGTAAACCTTTTCCTGAAAAAAGATATTAAAAACCTAAAATCCAGAGAGTTATTAATTTCGCCAGAAAGACAGGACTCTTTGGTCATCTATAGGAATGACTTTATGATTGGTATAATGTATTAACACTTTGGTGATAACACTTAGGTGAGTAAACCGAATCAAGACAATTCAGTATGAGGTGCACACATGTACCAACAGGTCTGAGTGCATGGGTATTATTTATGTCCACCTCGATAATAACTAAAACTAAAACTATTACTTTTCTCTATTTAAAAAAAAAATATTAAAAATGAAAAATAATGCCTTAGACCCTTTACCAAATCCTTATACATATGAGCCAAGTGTAAGTACAGCATCAGTTATTTCACTAGAGAATCAATGCTAATTTTTATAAGTAAACAAAAAAATTTTTACAATTACTTACAATTTTTATTATTTTTTAATCTTACTACATTATAGTTCTAGACGAGCATCCAATCAGAATTCTAGAGATTTCAGAAATTTAAATTTACACGAAACAACATTCATGATGCCAGTACCACATCATGGCATGTATGGACATAGTGGGGCAGTCACCGATGATGAAGAACCAGGATCAATAAGTTCTGTTCGTGGAAGTTCTAGACCTCTACCATACAGAGTGTGTTATTAAGCATCAGTATAAATCATCATCATTCTTTATAATATCATTCTTATTATTATATTTAATATGTAATTGTTTTGTATAATTTTGTTTATAATTATATATTATATATTCAAATTTTATTAAGTTTAACGTTAATGAAAATTAATTATTAAAGTTAAAATTTATATATTCTACGAATAATTATTTAAATGTATTAAAACATTAATTTGTATACATTCACACGCATATATTAGGGTTCTCAGTTCTAACTGACAACATTTATAAGTTATAAACGTTGTATAACTGTATCAAATGTTTTCAATTATACTTTAGATATAATTATCATTATATTGACAATATTTTTTCAATAATTATTGTCGTCTTAGACTACGTTTAAAGCATATTTTTTTTATTATTTATCACTCATAAGAAAAAGATAACAACAAAAATCTTTTTTCAATAAATATTATTTAAACCTTTACATATGAAAAATTTTAATAGGTCGATACAATTTTAGGACAAATACTCATTGATTTACAATTATTTTAATACATAGAATATGTATATAGTGAGGATGAGTGCAACTCGTACTGGTATATGTATAATTTGCCTACGTTTCATGGTGGAAACTGTGAAATGGGAATAAAGAACTATAATAAATGTTCTTTGTGTTTTTGACGTTACACTTGAATTAATGAGCGTACACTCAAGAAAAAAAATTCACCCATTTTTATAGAAATTTGAACCCTTTGAGGCACATTGACTTATCTTGCTCAAATTTCACCAGGCCTATTTTTTTAGTGAACCTAACTGAATTTTGAGCCTGAGTGGATCAGCTCCTACATGTGTATATTTGCAACACATAAATATATGGAACGTAGGCGGATTATACATACACCATTAAGATCTACATTCACCCTCACTACATGCATACTCTATGTATTAAAATGTTTGTAAAACAATCAGTATTTGTTCTAAAATTGTTGTAGACTAATCAATTTTTTTTTTTTTTTAATATTTTTTTGTTTAAATTTTTTCTTATTTAAATAAAGAAATAATGAAAAAAATTGTCTTAAACATAGTCTAAAAATGAAATAATTATTTTAAAAAATACCAACAAAATTATTATTGGATCAAAAATTATAAGAGCTATCAGTTAGAGCGGGTTCACCTGTATATATACATACAATGATTGATTTGTTATTGACCACTAAATTTTCTTCCATAGAAAATATTTTTTTTTTTTGAGTAATATTTATTTTTTGATTTTTTTGTGTTTAAATATTATTTCAAGCTATTCCTTTCTTTTAATAAGGGTATAAAATATATTTTTTTAATATTTATAACTATCTTAAACTTTAAAAAATGTTCTAATTAAAAATATAATTGGTAGATAATAACTTTTTATCTAATAGTTTAAGAGTTATAAATATTTTTATACCTGACAGGGAGGAGTAGAGCAGCAGAATAATACTTAATGATAAAAAAAATAATACCAGCACCTATTTAATCACTTAAAAATCGATACCTAAAAAATACCAAAAACCTATTATTATTTTAGGAAAAACGATAAACGTCAATAATAAATCAATTACTCTGTATATCTTTATACATATAGTAAATATTTAACTATGTTAGTTAAATTGACGATGTCAGTATATTAAAAATAATTATTGATGTTTCACAATAATAAAGTATAATGTCTCATGTTGGTATTCTCAAAATAATTGCAATTTAAAATATTGATAATATTTAAGAAAACTAATATTTGAAAAAATACCTTCTAAAAAAAAATAAACTATTAGGTCCCTAAATATTTATATAATATTATAAAGATATATATATATATTATGCTTAGCACAAAAACATATAAAGTATCTGAGAGACTTATATGGTTTTGTAAAAGAGACTACAATATTTTTAAAATCTTCTAAAAATATTAATTTTATTAGTGTATGTCGCTATCGCCGTGTACCACAATACAAATATAATGCATAATTACATCAATAACAATATTATACAGCCGATTAAACCAGTCGAGATTTTTAATAAAATTATACATAATCCACGATCTTCAGTGGACACAAATAACAGCTTAACAGGTAAATGCTGAACCGTACAACGCTCTAAAAAAATTCTTTAGTCCCATTACTTATGATCACACAAATTGAGCTAAAACTCAAACTCAATCAATTAAAAAAAAAATTATTCTCACCATCAAATTAATTTGATGTTCTTTTTTATTTTATATATTTATTTATTAAAAAATGAGGCTCCTAGGCACAAATATACATTACATAATTCTATGACAGAATAAAATTTAAAGAAAACAGTAATAATTAGTGATGAGCAAAACAAGAACAAGACCAAGACTGTCAAAGTCTTGGTCATAGTCTTGTTCTTGATAGCTCAGTCTTGGTCTTGGTCTTGCTTTGCTAACTCAGTCTTGGTCTTGGTTTTGGTCTTGCAAATCTAGTCTTGTTCTTGTTCTTGGTCTTGCTCATAAAATCTTGTTCTTGTTGTGAGTCTTGTCACAATACTCTTGCAAAATCTTGCATTCATTTATATTTGTAAAAATTTTCTACTTAAAAGGTTTAAATAACGAAGTTATCTACTTCAGTTTGTAAATTCAAATTTAATTTATATGCCATAGGATTTTTAAGTTAGAACTTAATATTAGCTATAACAATATGGATGATTTTTTTATGAATAGTTTGGGGTATTAAAAAAAAATAAACAAATAAATTAAATTATAAAAAAATAAGACGTTATTGAAACAAAGTATTTTTTCACTTTAAACTGATGGCGTAATATTGTCCGAATAGTAACGCAGCGGATGTGCGGTCGGGGAGGACGCGATTTCGATTCTCCTAGTCGGATAATTTTTTTTGCATTTTAATTAATTTTTTTCATTGAATAATGAACATGAATATATTTATTTTATGAGTTTACCAGTCGCCGGTTTTATGTATCGATTTTTAAAACCGGTTTTAAATAATAATCGCTTTCTGTTCATAGACACAGTTTTTAAAAATTATTGGTTTTGATTAACAAAACCGAAAAAAACTGTTATAACCAGTTTTTATAAAACCAGTTTCAGTCTCCGCTTTAGAAGTAAACAAAAATTTTATCTAATTTTATCATAATGTTTGAAGCACGGAATATTTATTTTTAATCTTCTTTAATTATTTAAAATTAATTAATTACAATTGAATGACAATAAATTTTGAAACATGATTGTAAAATTTTAAGTTAATCGGTAACATCAGCTCATAGGTAATATTTAATTTGAACAATACGCGTAATGAATAAAAATCAAAGTAAAATTTAATATTGTCGAATCTGTCATTAATAATCTTAACGATTTTAACCAACAACAATTTTTTTTTTTTTTTCAAGAGTGCAATACTCTTGCAGTTTTATTCTTGTTGTTGCAAGATTCTTGCATTTTGAGTCTTGGTCTTGGTCTTGTTCTTGCAAGTCTAGTCTTGTTCTTGTTCTTGGTCTTGCTAAAAAAGTCTTGGTCTTGTTCTTGTCAATTGAGTACAGTCTTGATGTTGGTCTTGCTGATATTATTACAGTCTTGGTCTTGTTCTTGGTTTCGTAGAAATGCAAGACCAAGCCAAGACCGCAAGAACAAGAGTAATTCTGCTCATCACTAGTAATAATTATAACAGTGATATAACCTTATCAAAATCACTCATTTTTATTTCTTGGTAATCTATAATAAATAAGAAAACTAATTATTATTATAATAATTAATATTATACTTAAACTATCGGTTAATGAAGCCACAACTTGTACATTTTACTGCCTATATAGTCCTCTTTTTCCAATTTATTTTTTCGTCTATTCTGCAAACTCTCTTAAAGTGTATGGTTTTTCAATTTTGTCCACACTTGGAAAATATTTTACATTGTTCATTTATATTTTAAGTGTCAACCGTATTCAACTTAGAATAATTTGTTTTTAGTCATAACATAATATAATTTTAAATGTTAAGTTTATTTTTCTTAGTGTTAAATAAATCGAACATGTTTTTTTTAAATAAAATCATACTAAATTTTTTTCTTTTCAATTTTTGATAATTATTCAAAAGCCTACCATATTTAAAGCAACTTTAAATTCAAACTAATATAATGTACTTTAAGATGAAAAAAGAAAAACTATCTGAAAATCGATTTCTACGAGTTATTATGCATTAAAACAAAAATGCATATAATTTTGTAATGATTTTTAGGGACGGCCTAAAAGACGGACCGTCCGCCACGGACTTTCAAAAACTTCCAGAAATTTCCAATATATTCCAAAAACTTCCAGAAAATTATAATACACATAATATGATTTTGTGGGGATATATTATATCCATACCATATACTATGGTGGGGATAAAATATATCCCAACATATATTATGGTCGGGATGGGTTAATTATATATATTTAAATACGGTAGATATATTATAATAACTACCGATGGCATATAGCTATTATATAGATAGCATAGAGCTGCGGCGTGTTCACCTCGCTGTCGCATGACAACAATTTTCCATCCCTTGAAATGTGTTGTGCGCTCAAATAACACGTATTTATACAGGTATAGAATTAAGTGTTTAGTCTTATCTACAAATAAACGTAGTTAATTAATAACACTAAGGAACCCATGTTCTCACCTGATATATACTTACATAAATGAAAAAAAAAATTTTATACTTTTTTTAGGTCGTAATTTATTAAGAAACTATTTGTTATAATTAAGTTCTATTACATTATTTATGCCAAAATCAGAAACAATGTTGTTAAACATTATTATATTTTGAATTTAAATATATTTTAGTTAGTTTTTTTTATTGAAATACCCTATGCTTTTGTGTCCATATGTGTCTTTGTTATGAGCTTTTTTATGAATACTAAAAATTGAACTAGCTTAAATAACGAAGAAAGTGCTTTTTACAAAATACTCACATAAAATATTTTGTTGTATCAATGTCAATTGGAGATACAACAAAGTTGTATCTCTAACAACACTACCTTTTAGCTTTGTAAATAAATAAAACTATTGAGTCCTAACTTTTACCAGCACAAATTATTCGTTAAGTCATTACGAAGAACGTGTCGTATAGAGACCCAAACGTTTTTTAATGAGAATATTCTTATACCTTTACTTAGAATTATCTAATATAGGATCTTAC